TCAGGAAGAACTGAAAATGAAAATGGGCCAGGGTGCAAAAACAACATATTGCCATAAGAGCACCAGTGCCATTTTAAAAGCATGGCCTGCACTCAAGACACAAACTGAACTGCTGAGGAACAAGAAGGGACTTTGCACTGAGCCTGCACTCTTGAACAGAGCACTGTTCAAGCTGAGCTGTTTCTGGATTTCAACTGGCCAAACTTTGAGGAACTCCCATCACATAACCAGCTGGGACTCAGCAAGTAGGAACAGCTTGAGCATTCTGCATGGGATGAGAGTTAAAGGTTTGTAGGAGTGAAGTGCGAGTTCCACTGTAATTGCCCATGGGAAGATGGAAGCTACTTTGAATCCCCACCGAGTCAGTAGATTGGACTGGGACTCCCTAATATTCTGGCCTAATAGAATGGGCAGCATTTTTGGATGTAATCTGTTGCCCGCCTAAGTTGTTTGCATATTCTTTTATTTTCAGAAGGAAATATAACTAAACTCCTCACACTGCAATACCTGAGTTCAGTATCTGAACTGCAAAAAAGGGGCTCTGAATGAACATCCTGAAAGATTCTATGCTGGTTTAATTGTCACATGTTTTTGAATGTCTTCCTAATCCAATCAAAAAGATTTCAGCTGGGCACCTTTTCATACTCCTCACCACTAACAGATAGAGCATTTTTAAACATCTGTGTAATTCAATCCCACGGGATCTCAAAAGAACCGAGGAAACAGAGACCTAAGGAATGAGACTTTTCCAGGGCGGTGTAAGCCATTATACGTCCGACGGAGCTGCGTAACGGATAACTTTCAGGCCCTTGGCCCCAGCTTCAAAATTTGTTCCACATTGTTTTAGCACTCCAAATAGGGTTCAAGTGGATTTTCCAAACTGGATTAAGTGAAGACAACAACAACCAGAAAGAAATTATTTGATTTCTCCTTTAATTTACGATCCACGTCAGCTCCATCTGGCTTGGCACCTTGACGTTTTTACTGGCCGGACAAGGGGCAGCAAACGTAGCACTTTTGACCAAGTGCTCTGGAGATCGGAGCCCTAGAGTGTCATGCCCTCTGCAGCCAGAGGGCGCTCCTGCTCTGTCCTGTCCCTAGTTTCCTGTGCTTTGCGGTTCTTCTGGTGTCTCTCTCTCTGGGGCTATATATTTCCGGGTCACTTATTCTGCTTGGCTCAGCATTGACGTTCGGATGTCCTGAGACCAGCCTAGCACCAGGTCACCCCACGTCCACTGCCTGAGGGCATTGGTTTCTATTCGACTCCTGAACTGCTGAGCCCGGGCTAACCCCTGTCTCACCGCTACGCGTAGGGTCTATTTGCGCTCTCCTGGCATTCCGCGGTTCGTCCCTTTTTCAGACATCCGTGACATAGACACCTGGCTAGCCTGGCTGTTCACCTGGTACTGTGGTCCGGTAGATGGTATACTCCCCCCGCTGGGTCTGGATGGCTTTCACCCTGCCTCCCTTGTCTCCCGACAGGGTGCCGGACAGCAGCTTGCCACGCTCGGCCTCCACGTGCT